ATAGGGATGTACCAGCATGTGCACTTACAGCAGAGTGTTGCGTTATTACGAAAGAATCTGTTCATATCCATGCCGATTTCATAGTACCTCAAGAAACTACTATGGTCAACATCCTGGCACGTCAGTGGCACCCACACTCGGTGCGAACACCAGCGAAGCGAACCTCCAGGCAACGTCTTCATCGGAAAAACACTAGACATGGCATATTCAGACTAACCGCCCTAACCCCAACTCCCACGAACCGGAGCCAGACAGGCCCAGTTGCCAACGTAGCGGGCATTGCGCATCTGCTCGATGTCTTTCTGGGCAGGTTTCAGGGCTCTAGACTAACAGTAGAGTGTAGTGTCGGCGTTGTTTGCCTCCGTTACAGCGAAGGAAATGCATTGCCTCCAAAATTTCAGGTTGAGGACAGACGTTTGCCTGGCAACATCCGCAGCTGGACTGATGCCGAATTCACCCCAGCAGTATGTGTAGATATAGGGGCCTCAATAATTAGAATGGGTTTTGAAGCCCATTATACTATAATTATAATAAGGCACCCCCAAAAAATATAGGGGCCCCTATGGTATGTGTAGGGTTCCGGGTCTAGGGACGCCGCGCGCAGCTTCAGGGTTTCAGTTGAACTGAGCTGGAGCCGCTTGGCAAACGAACATCTACTATTACTGCTGCTGCTACTACTATACTGCTACTACTTCTACTACTACTATTTCTACTACTATTTCTACTGCTGTGTCTACGACTATGTCGACCGCTGTTTGTACTACTATTTCTACGACTATTTCTACGACTATGTCTACGACTATGTCGACTGCTATTTCTACGACTACTTTCACTACTAGTTCTACTACTAGTCCTACTACTATTTCTACTACTATTCCTAATACCATGTCTACTGCTACTACTACTACTACTACTACTACTACTACTACTACTACTACTTCTACTTCTGCTTCTACTATTTCTTCTACTACTACTTCTCCTACTACTTCTACTTCTATTTCTACTACTNNCTACTACTACTACTACTACTATGCCGTGCATGCCTGGAGGTCTGCGCAGACTGCAACAAAGTTTGATGGGGGGAACGCGGCACGAATGCCTTGCGTTGCGTGAGCAGGCCCACTTGTCACTTGACTCTATTCTTTTAGGTAATGTTGCTGTAGGGCAACCAGGGACAAACGGACTAGCGGGTCGATATGCCCAAGCTTTCACGCGAATTTGCCAGCAATCCCTTTCTCAAATGTAGGAGTTCGAGCTGTGGTATGATGTGCCGCAGGACCCGTTCCGATCCACACTGTGACTGTTCCTCGTCGGGTCCTGGCGAGCCTGCCTTCTGCTTGTCTCTCGAAGCGAGCTCATCGAAGCCCCTCTGCATACACCAGGCAGCAGCACCAAGACCTTTGGCCCCTTTGGCATCCAGCTGGGTCTCTGGCCCACGTCAAAGTGCGACATCTCCAGCACTGCCAATACATCAAGGCAAGGTGCAGGGCAAAGAGAGCAAGCTTCTAGTCTACATACATTAGCCTCGATTTCAAGGTTCGCCCTATGCAGTCCAGGCTGGGCTTGTTCACGCCTAGCCAAGCGAGCTGCTCTCTTACAAGACTAATAAGACAGGTTCGACCAGCTGGAGTCGCCACAAAGGCTCCGAGAGACAGACTAACTGGCTGACTTGGGTGCCTCGGCTGCTCGGCTATTCGGCTTACGTTTCTGTTAGAGGCGCCGACCGGCGCTGCCAGCGCGAGCGGCATGCTGGCAAGAGGGTGCATTGCCCGGTTATGACTGCTTAGTAAACGAGGCGTGTCAGCGCATAACAGTTGCTCAAGGCTCTGCCGCCAGACCACGGGGGACAATTTGGCAAATTACTTCAATCATGGACGGAGGCAAGCTTCAAGTTTGCATTGCTGCGCTGTTCCACAGCAATTCCCATCAGTCAGAGGCGATTCACAGAACCGCCAACGGTTGTGGAAAGAAGCCCCCGCAGTCCTGGGCGCCGTGAGTCTGGCGCGACGTCGCTCTGTCCAAAGGCAGAGAAGCAGTGTGGGGTGCACGGGGTACAACGGAGTGATGCCGATCTCGGACCAGGTCGACACGAGGGAGCTCCAGCCAGCCTCTCCAAGGGGTGCTGTTCAGGTACCCACGATTGAATTTGGTGAAAGTTTGCTGGAAATGCTGCGGCTTGACACGTAGAGGTATGGGGCCAGGCAGAGGTGACTGCGAGCGGCCTCACACGTCAACCCGCTCGACTTCATCATGGGTCTCTGTCCTGGTACGGGGTTTGAAACACTCAACACGCCTTCTTGGTCTGAGCGCCTGAGGCCGAATCCAATGAAGCTGCAGTCAGAGGTTGGTTCGCAAAGGAGGCGCTCGCCCTCTCGCTCTCTCGGTCTCTCTCACTCTCGCTCTCTCGTGTTTCTTGCTGAAGAGCAGGATGAGCCACGGCGAGCCTCCCCATTTGCAGGAAGCTTGGCATGCTGTAAGGCTGGTCCCCCGCCACGTTTGCAAAAGACTTGCACCGCCTGCTGAAGTTTTTCACAGACTTCTCCAAGCCCGTAAAATGCTCGTGCCTGGCATGACGGGACAGGCAGAGCTTGAGCACGTCGCCTAGTCGGAGCCCACACATGCGGGCACTTTCCAATGATGCGGTGTGGTCCTAAGCACCGCACGGGCCTCTGACGCTTGTTGCCCTGGCGCTGCAGTAAAGGCGCATCGGCGAAGTGCCGGGGTGAAGTGCTGGCCTTACCTCACGCGTAGATAGCCGAAGGCAAGCAACGAAGCGCACAAAACGCCGACCATTTCCTAACGAAGATCAAGATAGATCTAGACAATAAAACTGCCTCCCCCACGTGCAGCAACTGTGGAACTGGGGGCGAAGACAACCGCATTTAGTATAGCAGGTTGTGGCATTCCGGGAACGGCGATATGCCCAGACATTCATTGACAAGAACGACATTCGAGTTCTTTAAGACGTAAATAGGGAGGTGATGTTCGGTGGTGACGCCAAGTAGCATGGTGGCAGGTGCTGTCTTCATATTATGTTGAGACACATGAATTTCGGTCCAGATTTGTCCGATCAAGAGCAGTCTTGAATCCAACTTCCTTTACTGCAAGGCCGTGGCAGCTGCAGAGGGCCCCAGTATGAGCCCACGTCCCCATTGAAAGCTCGTAAGCTTCTGTGGTTGTGCACCCCTTTCGTGCATGCCTCGATGGGAAAGTCCAATTCTGGGCCCGTCCCTGCACAGCGGCCTGCGGCGCGGTGGCGTCGGTGGCGTCTGCGGGCCGGCCTAAAATGCCACAACCGCGGCCCTTCCTAATCTCGGAATCTCGTGCGAATGTTTGCTCTGAAACGCACTACTTTGATAGGTCAACTTCCTCCAACCAGGCGCGTCTGCACGCATGCACCACCAGGCGTTTCTGCCTTGCCCTCTCTGGCTTTGCATCGACTCGACACAGAACATTGAGGGATACAGACGCCCGGCTTTGGGTACCGTACCCTACCCTTTGTTCGGCGTCCTGGCCCCTCGCACAATTGATATGCGCCACAAAGATATGGTTCTTTGCGACCATAATGCACAATGTAAGTCAGAGCAGAGGTTATCTTGCCATGTCCTCGTCCGTGGACACTTTGTTCACTACTGTCACAGCGGCATGCAGCACAAGCTTTCTGCAAGCCAGCTGCACATTCGTTGCGAGGAATTTCGGATGCTGGGATTGGGATATGGCCGGGTGCCATGAAGACACAAACTGCTAATTTAGGTAATCAATCTGACACAGACCTCTCATGGACTTCACCAGCGTCATGTCAGCTCAAGACATGCCACTTCCAGGGCACGCAATTTGATGGGCCAGGCATTGATTGGCGCTCGAACAGGGCCCAGAACGGCACCACGCGACATTTCCTGCAATGCTACGCTTGAAATGACACTGCAAGCCCCACCTTCATCCTCAAGTTTCCGCTCAGGATGGTTAAGGCCTAATTTTGGGGGCGATGTGTGGCATGAGCTGCCAAGACGAGGTCTTGCTTGGATGGAAGTCTGAGCGAGGGGGAGGCCGTCTACTCGCGTCAAGATGGTTCTGAGTCCTTACATGCACATCTCTAGACCGGTCAGGATACACTGCGTTTCCCGGCACGGTCAAGCCGTCGTGCAACGCAGCAGCAAAGCGTGGGCGCAGTCCGTGGGATGCAGCTGCAGGCCGCGGTCACGGGGGGCCATGGGGGGAAGAAGTCTTTAAGCGCGCTGCTGTGCGCCGCTCAGGTCACGAGTCCAGAGGGGCTGGAAGAAAATCCTTCAGGGGAGGCGAGAGTCCTAGCAAGAGGTGAGTCAAACTTGTCATCCGACTGCAGAGGAGGCAGCCGAGGGCTTTCCAAAAGGCCGACGCGGAAAGGAGAAGCGGCTCGCATCCCGGAACATTGCATCTCCGTCTCCGTGAAACCGTGAAACAGTGCTGAGACACATCTCTCCCAAAGCCGGAGACGGTGGCGGCGATCTTGCCGCAAGCTCAAAAGAAGAAGTTTCATTATCACCCTTTACATACAGCTTAAGGGGAGGGTTTGGCCGTCATCCGGATCTAAATTATCGACTGAGGGCCTACATCACCGATCTGCATTGCAGGTTGAATGATAGGAGGGAGTTCTGATTTACGCAGACAGGGAGGGTGTGTGTGTGTGTGTCTCTGGACACTGGGCAGCGGCAGAATCTGGTCTGAGGAATTGCATGGTGGAAGTTGGCAACATTGACGAAGCTTGAACCAGTTGCGCGACTGTTGTGCATGCTACTATCATGCAGAAGCTACATTAACCATGTGAATCTATATATATATATGTACACAATTATCACGGAAGCAACTAAGATGTTCGAGTGCTCTCGGGGAACGCTGGAGCATGCTTGGACTTCTTCGCGTGCTCTCAAGGCTCTTGCGGTGCTCGGGAGAATGCACGCGGTCAAGCAACGCGCATTTTACAATGCAAGCAACCATATCGCAGTAGCAAACCCGGGGGATAGTGATCAGTGGTTGCCGTGGTATTAGTAGAAGTAGGAGTAGTAATGGAAGTACCAAGAATAGGAGGAGGAGGAGCAAAAGGAGTCCGAGTCGGAGTAGCAGAAGGAGTAGGAGCAGTAGTAGTAGTAGTAGTAGTAGTAGTAGTAGTCGCAGTAGTAGTGGTAATAGTAGTAGGAGTTGGAATAGAAGCAGGAGCGGTAGTACACAAGTAGTAGTAGTCGTCGTCGTAGTATAGTA